GAGTACCATATTACCATGGTTTGTCTCATCTATGTACTTTTAATGTTCCATTTTGTGGAACAACCTAAATCTAAATGTATTTAATATGTCTCTCAATAAATATATAAATATTAGTAGAAAAGAGTTACTGGTAACATAGAGTTTGGAAACTTAACTTTGTAAAATACTTCATGTTTTTATTGTAACTAGGTAATACTTTACATATTTTTTATTTTTAATGTTATTTTTCCATCTTTATAGTGCTGGATCTTAGAATCTTAGAGCTAACTGTTGGGTTTATAGGTTTAAATATGACTAAAAATATTATCATACAAATGTATATAAAGTTCTTTCTAGAACTAAATCATTTAATTTTTCTGTTTCCAACTTAGCAGAGTTCTGTCTTTCTGTGAGTAGAACGCCAGACAGTAAGAGTTCTCACTGACCGCTGGTAGTGTGTGTTATTAGATTAGGATGTAAGTACTACAAAGAACTCAGAATGTCTGACGGCTGCCTGTTGCTTATTAGGCTTTAATTTGACATTAGAATTAAAAAAAAATATTTAATTACTGACAAGTTGTTGTCACAACATTTAGAACACTAAATTATACTACATTTTTCTGTCCCTATTTGTGAACAAAATATTGCAACTATCTTGGTTTATTTTTAGTTCCAGCTGAATTACAGCTAGATTGAAAATCTGAATTTTCCAATCTTGGTTCATTCATCAATCCAATCATCAGGTTTTTGAACAGGTAAATTTTCTGTCACATCTGGTATTAATTTAGTAGTGGAATTCTCTAATGTGTTATTTGGACTTTCATCTTCATCATTATCATGATTTATTAATATAACAATTCAATAGTAAACTTCGTATATAGTACAGAGCTCCTGGTAAAGCAGTTTTTCATTTAGTGATGTCTAAATATTTGGTTTTCAATGCTAGATTCACCAATTTCCATATAACTCATTGTATCTTTCAACTTAACCATTTCCTTCATGGTTATATGGTGTTGTTCTACTTGAAATATTCCTTTAGAGTGTAGATAATTAATAAATTCTTGTGAAGTAAAGCTAGTTCTCCTTGTCAGATTTTATATATGCCAGCATTCTATATACAAAAAATAGTGATTTAATCTGTGATTGGTTTGAATTGCTTTCCTACCAGATAATGGCTGCATTTTCCAGATAATGGCTGCATTTTTTTAATACTTCAATGCATTTGCATTTTTTCAATTGCATGTTTTCATTCAGAATCTGTGAGAGTATGTGTGAAAAAAGCAATTGGTTTTCCCCATTGATTGCTTCGCTTATGTAATTATAGACTAAATTTATTAAAAGCATGTACTTATCTCTGTCTTCTAGGGATTTATCTTTAGATTCATTGCTTTCTAAAAAAATCTTGAATGTTATATACCAATGTTTGAGTTCTTTGCGAATTATGAGAATAAAATTGTAGTAAAATGCCTTTTGCACAATTAGGCTTTTATTCACATAAAACTTGACATACTAAGACAAAACAATTATTTAAATACTGACCAGTTCTTGCCAAATTAAGAAAACTAAATTATAGTACACTTGGCTTTTATTATTAATATTTCTTGTAACACATATAACATTTCTTGTAACATTTTTATAAATAAAGATTTTATTATATATTTTATTCTTTATTTTTTTTAACCACTTTGGCATTTTAATGTAATGTAAAATAAATATAGTCTCAACATAACAAGAAAACCCAAAAAGTATACGACAAATATTTATTATCGTATAGGATAAGGATTTTTCTTGTTATTTTAGGATTATATCGATTTTCCTTTACTTTAAAATGAGTTCACAATCCTAGGTAATATTACTAAACTTTTGAATTTCGCGCCATGCATATATAGTTAGGCGCCCGGTCACTAGGTGATGCGCCAATCATTGTTTTACTCGTAAACACGGAAGTTTCAATGCTAGGTGGTAGTGTGCTATGTTTCAAACTGTCTGTTGTGATTGGTTCGGTTACTAGTACCACTTGCAAACGCACTTACCAACATCACTTTCCATAAATTAATTACTATTTAACTGGGAATAAGCCACAATTAAAGATAAAAATACGTTTATTGACGTTTCAATTTCCACTTCGGAACTCACATAATTAAAAAATTTAGATTTCCGAAGTGGAAATTGAAACGTCAATAAACGTATTTTTATCTTTAATTGTGGCTTATTCCCAGTTAAATAGTAATTAATTTAAAATACCACAAGAAAATAGCTTCAGAACAATATCACTTTCCATGTCCAATACTTTTGTTTTGATTGAATCGATAGAAATAACAATCTCAACAACTTTTTTTAAAGCGTCCCAAATTTCTTTAGCCGTTTTTGCTTGTTTTATATGTATATATAACGATGGATTAAGCAAAAGAACTAACTCGGCTTTAGATGTTTCTTGTTTATCTACTTCGGTTTCAGTTCCGTCCAAACACATGGACAAACCTTCTAGAACAAGATAATTTTGCACTGCAAAACCCAATCATTGTAATTTTCGAGGCCTCATAACTTTCGCACCGTAGACATGTAATTCACTGGTATTGTGAACCTTAACATTTACTAGTATACAACGGTTATCTATTTACCAATGGAAAAAATGGTCTGAGTCACTATAACCTGTTAAAACTTACAAATGAAACGAACCAGTTGAGTATACGGTTAAGAATACTTTATTTTGCCCAAAAAGTGAATACAATTGACAGTTTATATTGTACCAATAACTTCCTGTAAATGACATATGGCTCTAATATTTAAATTTTGTTTACTCCATATCAATATTTTAACAGAAAACAGTCACATAATACTTAAGTCAGAACACTGTATGTCTCAAAAATACTTGAGAATTTCCAGAATCTTTAATGACTCTTAGCAATTTTCTTAATTACAACTGCTATGAATTTGTGCGTCTAAGTAATATTTTTTACATTTATTCTAATAAAAGAATAAGTAAAATGACTGCATAAAAATCAGATCAGATTTAAGAATTATAAATTGGATATTCTACAAAACCAAAGAATATAGACGCTTATAGCTTAAGCGTCTATATTCTTTGACAAAACTATAGCAATGATATTAGGCGAGAAAAACTAATTTTTAGAAGCGACAACGGTGTATATTTGAGAGCATGTGTATTAAGATCCATATTTGCCAAACCTATCAGCGATGTTAATCTCGTTCGAATATATTTGTATTAATCGCGTTCCAATATCCAAAACAAAGAAATATATTACAATTCCTAGTATCATTAACAACTGTTACACTGTCTAGATATCAACAAGTTTTACTATAACCGCTTCCTATGATTAAAATCTAAAGAATGTGTCTGGTTGAAAACTTACAATTCATTAAATATTCAAAATTGCGCAACACTGTAAGACTTGATGTCTTGTAAAAATGTTAAGATTTAGATGAGAAAATAACATCAATTCTCCTTGAAATTTTTTCAATAATTAATAAAAAATTAATTAGAACTGACCAATTTCTGGATATATCTGACCATTGGAGATTAATTTGTGATCTTTCAGGTGGCATAATTATATTTCAGAAATACTAGCTGTAACATAGTGATTTAGGGAAACGCGGGAACCTACTGTTCTCCTAGTATTTTTAAAATGTTTATTGCGGCAAGGCACTGCAATCCTGGTATTTTTAAAATTTTTAATGGACTGCGCTTGCGTGCTAAGGTGATTGCAACTTTATTAATTATTTTCACCCCTAAAACAACCTGACCAAACTCTCAATATATCTGACCATTTGTCAGAGTTTTAATCTCTATCGAATGCAGCCATTTTTTTATAGATTTCGTTCAATGAGGTGCCAACCAATGACGTATAATATATAGACTCGGTGAACGCTTTAAAAAGTGTCCAAAACATGAATACCTTTGTTATTGTTTATTGTTTTGATACGAAGATACACGAAGTTCATGATTTCTTACGAAGCATCACGAAGTTGATCTTGTGTTTGAAAACATCATGGACGTATGAAAACATTTTCTCCATTTTGTGTGACAAGCAAATTTTATTTTAAATTGTTGAGAGTTATTTACTTACTATTTTAGTAAAATGCCATACTATTTTATCAAAATAATTATTTCTCTTATAGATGGGAACAAAAAGAAATCATAAATATTTAATTTTAATTAAAAAAATAATTATTGTCATTAAAATATAAATGAGCACGCCGCTGTTGTGATAAACATACCTTCAACCTTGAGCCGAGATCTTTCGGACACTCGATTCTATAGCGAGAATAGGGGACTGCGTAGTCTATATATTATACGTCATTGGTGCCAACATCTTTTTTGTCCTTGAAAATTTTCCAGCCTTAATAAAAAATTAACCAGACCTGACCAAAAGCTGAAACCAACTGACCATTTGTGACCAAAACGTGACCATTCAGACGGTATAATTATTTTTACGAAATTCGATCAATGAGGTGCCAACATCCCATAGCTGTTAAAACAGGAGATCTGGTAACAATGGGTTTATTGTTCTTCCGATGACGTAACCAGCACTCCGAGCACTAAATTCAATTCGATTGTATCGATCTGAATTTGATATCGATACCGAATCGCCTGATTTGTTGGTATGTTGTTTAGACGCTAGTGTGTGCTTGCTATTCTATGTATTAGCACAGAACACGGTTGTGATTAGTATTCTGTGGTCTTGTCTTAGTCACCGAACAACCCAAAGGTGCACTCCGATAAATTTACATTGGTAGCTGTCAGACAAATTCGGTGACCTTGAACCATTTTTTTAGTGTACAATTACAGTGTTTACGATTGCACAAAATCAAATTATTAGCGAAACAAATAGTGATCTAACCTAACAACAAACACAAAATGATCTGTCAACGACGTGACTGTGAACTTAAAATATGGCCGTTGACCTGCGCAAACTAGATGCGCGAACAATTACCGCCGAGTCGAGTGCACCTTCGGGTTGTTCGGTGTCTTAGTATCATTGGTATCATATCATGAATTCATGATATCTGGTATCATGATATTCATGATTTGGAGTTTGGACGTTTATTTTATAAAAAAAATGGCACTTTATGACAACAAATATTGGTTATTATCACATATTAGAAACTCTTTTATATCTACTGATGACACAGGTGTGTTTTAAAAACTTATGGTATATTAGGTAAAAGTATAGAGAACCTTCGGGTTAAGTTTATAGGCCTCTATATTTGTTGATATTAAAGATGGATGTGTATGTTGGTTGATATTACTTTGCAGATTGTTCAATTTGTTGTAGGTATGTGTGAATTAGTTATGTGTGGAGAAACTAAAAATATTCAACACCACTTGAAAACAACAGAATCTTATCCAGATTCAGCAACAAGTGAAGATGAGGAAGAGGATTTTGAATCTTTCGATTTGCAAATAGATATGGACTTCAACATTAGAGAAAGGTCTAATACAGCAGCTCAGATAGAAAAACTAGAATTGGCACGTAAAAAAGCTGCAAAAATGAGACATATTAAATGGGAATCTAATGGACAACCAATTAATTGGAACAATTTTGATGATTTGTTTGTAAAGAAAGATATTTCTAGATTGATAAAACAAACAAAAAACATTTCAAAGTTGTCAGAACTTATACAGTGTCATTTGGATATTCCAAAAAATCCTTACATGGAATATGCTAAGTTTGATGGAACAGGGCAGGTAAACATTCCTACCAAAAAATACAAAATCTTTTTGACCATGTTACCACCTCAGCAAAGAAATTATCCAATGGCTGTCTGCTGTGTAGCACAAGCAAAGGTACAGGAACTTATTGGGTTAACCCTACTCAAACTTAGGTAAGTTTTAAATAAAGGTAAATAATTTAACCATGTGCTACTATCTTTTATTTATTTCTCATATTTTTCCATCCCTTATCACTTAAAGTTGTGTATTGAATAATAATTAGAATATTTAAGGTTACCATTCTTAACTAATTTTAGATGTCTTTTGTAAAACCTATATATAGGTCTACCTCAATGTTTCCCTAACCTTGTAGGTAGCTTCTTCAGGGGACAAAGGCTATAAAGCGTTCCACGTTAAGAAAATAACATTGTGGAGATAGGGCCATGCATTTCTTATGGACAATAGAACCGCGACAATGCCACGTCAAACACCAGCTGATTTAGGGTTGTATAATTTGTATTTTCGTTTCCACTGACATGAATTAATTTAATGTTTTTTAATCCAATTGACCAAAAGTGCCCATTCGAAACAAGAGATGAAAAGTAGGAAAAATGATTTTAATTAAATAAATAGTATTTACAAAAGATAATTTTATTTTATCATAGTAATAATTAGTTGTATCTTAGTTTTAATTATAGTAACGACAGTTTATTTGTTTTTCGGTAAGAGTACCATATACCATGAATCATAGAAATCAGTAGAAAATATTGCTTATAATAAGCTAATATAACTAATAATTAGTTAAACCGTGAATTTTGCCGGCTATTAAATATTTAAAAGCAAATAAACGGACAGCTTCAAATGCATATATCAAATTACTAATTGCAATTTAAAAAAATACGGTGTGCATATGTCAGCGATTTTATGTTATTCTCTGAGACTACATAATGATAAGGCTTTGTGGTTCTTTAGTTGTTATACTGACTTTACACAATATTTTATTTACAATACTATGGTTCTGATTAGAATGAATCATATATCGACAAACTAATTGCAACGCATTCTTGAGAGTTTTGGCAACACTGATCTCCATAAGCGTAATGTTATTTTCTTAATGTGGAATGAAATATAGTCACAGTAATTCAACATATCTACAGGTGAAATCTGAATTATAGTCCAATCTAAGGGTTACCAAAAGCATACATTCAATGTGTCTCATTACATTCTAATTACATGAGATTTATTATTGAAAATAATTTAAAACTTCTAGAATTGTGAGATATAAATAAAACTGCTAAAGTCAACATAATATAGTATGTTCTCTGAAACTCTCTTCTTGTGGCACATTGAACAGTAGTTATTATTTTATATGAATTTAAACCACAATAATTGATTATAATAATTTTATATTTACTTTGACAATTAGATTCCCAATCCACAAATCATTTAAAAAATCTGAAATAAAAATTATGAATGATCTCAGCATGTACTTAAATGCTAGTCAGGTAAATAAATATATAGTCTGTTCACATGATACAATGAACACAAGGTATGATATAGATACAGTTCTAAAATTGGTTCAATTCGCATATGATATAGGAAAGATCCTTCCTTTACACAACAATTGAATGTAGTTGTATAGGAAATTGTAAAAATATAATGTATTTGAATTATAGTAATTATAATTCTTAGCATGTGTTTTGGCTTCAATAGAGTGGACTGTATGAAAATGGTTACTTTTTATTGATATATAAAATTACACATTCACAATGTTAAAACTTGAAAAACGTAAAAATATAAACTGAATAATATTGTTCTTTTCACATTCGATGTTGGAATTGGAATGAATTCTTGTTAATGTCTTTTTGTTGTCTTCACTGGTGTCTAGTGATGTCAACATTGCCATATTTGTTTTAATTCGTAAGATCTTAATATCCTCCCCCTTCTTGAACAGCATGTTCAAAGAATGGCTAAAAATCATCTTCATTAGGAAGAGGAAGTGGACAAATCTTTGCAATACCACATTTGAATGTCTTGAAGAGAACCTTGTAAATAGTAATAAAGATTCAACATCAACATATTCAGACAAGAGTTTGAAATGTTTTTCGAACTTCTGGATATTGGCTGTTATCCAATTCTTGAAATTTGAGTGGCCCATATGGTGTACCATACAATATTAATGGACCATTCCACCAAATATTACACTTGTATAATTCGTCTGGATATATAGCTTGAGATGCCACATCAGCAGGATTCTCTTTAGTATTGACAGCTCCAATTGGATATATCACTCAATGTTTGAATTTCTAATACTCTATTACTAACAAATACTTGAAGTTTGTTGGGATCAGTGTTCAACCACCACAATACTATTTGGAAGTCATACCAGTAAAATGTTTCAAATTGGCATGTACACAACTGCACACAACCACATATGTTGTAATTCTAAATATTCATCCATGAATTTAAAATATTTGTCTTTTAAAGCTTCATTACTTTTCAATTTTCTCTCTTGAGAAAGTAATCTTTTAATTGCTAAATCTTTTGATTCACCTAATTGAGTAGATTCCAACCTAATGGGAATCAGACAATAAATTTTCCAAAACTGTCTTGAGAAACTGTTTTATGAAAATAATTCTCACAAAATGCTTCATCTTTGGACATTTTTGCTTGTTCATGGAGAATCTCTTAAATAGATCAAAATTTTTGAAGATCTTCATTTATTAAGAAATTGCAGTTGACATGCTTTGTAATTGGAATATTAATTGGACCTTATACAACAAACCCAACTACAGTGTTAATTAAATGTGGTTTATTTTTGCCTAAACTTATCCTTTCATTGAGAAGTATGTCCCAAAATAAATCAGCTCTTACTAATAAATCGACATTTTTGAAATATTATATGAGGGATTAGCAAGTTTAATACCTTTGGGAATAGGCCAGTCAGATACATCAATATTGCAAGATGGTAAATTCCCTGATTTTTTTTTAGCAACAATACAATTTAATTTTTTCTGAAATTTATGTCCATTAGACCTTATTAACACCTCACATTTGTATTGTAATTTGGAGCTAATACCAGTTATACCAGCAACAGAAACATCAATATGACTTTTATTTAATAGTAATTTTTCACATAAATTATCAGATAGAAATGAACACTGACTACCTACATCCAAAATTGCTTGAACTGTATGAAATTGGCCCCTATTATCCTGAACATCTATAACTGATGTAGGCAACATAATATAATTATCAATAAATGTACTGTTTCCATAAACTATAGATGACCCATTGAATTGGTCATGTTGTTATTGATTAGAAGTGCTACTAGGCTGACTTTCAGTCACATTGTTGATCTCACACTGTATTTGTTTAAGATGCAGTAAAGAACTAAAAAGTACCTTTTCGACAGTTGGAACTAAAATGGCTAGAGCATAAACAGTTTGAGCACAGTTTTAATTTCTTTACTTTGTTCCACATTTCAGACATATACATTTTAAAAAATTGATCACAAGAATAAATTAAATGCTTTTGTTTGCAATAATTGCACTTTGGATCTGAAATATTCTCAGAAGTACTAGATAAAAGAGAATGATGACATGCTTTATATTTATTATTAATTAGTCATACCTCTTTATTTTCTTTAGTAGTATTTATTTCTAATGTTTCCAAAAAATCAGCTCTATTTTTTAAAAATTGAAAAAAAACTAGATAAACTTGGCAATGTTTTATTTGTTCAGGATTGCTCCCAATAGCGATTTTTATATTTGTCGAGTTTTAAAGAAACCATATGAACTATCATATCATCCCAATGCTCAGTAGGCAACTGTAATGTTTTTAATGCTCTAAAGTGCTTATTTACATAGTTAATTAACCCTCTTAACCCTATAGCTGATTCTTTAATTAAGTTATCAAGTTCAAATACATGTTTTAAACAATTGTTGACTAATATCTTTTATTATCAAATCGTATCACACAATAACTTCCAGGCATCCTGGTAGTTATGTGCTGCAAATTCTAAACTTTGAATTATTTTTAAGGCTTCCTCGCCTAAACATGACATTAAATACTGATATCTTTGTATTTCTAAAAGTGCGGAGTGTTTATGAAACAATGCTTCAAAAGCATCTTTAAACTCTAACCATTTATTAAATTCGCAATAAAAGGAAGGACATTTCTTCTTCTTTAAGCGACGCGACGGAGGTTGGTAATCATCACAGCTATTCTGTCCGAGGCAGCTGCTCTGAACAATTACCTTGAGCTGCAACCAAACCACTCTCTCAGGTTCTTCAACCAGGAAACGCGTCTTCTTCCTACGCTTCTCCCACCCTCTATTTTTCCTTGAATTATGAGTCTCAAGATGTTGAATCTTTCTCCTCTCATTACATGTCCGAGATATTGCAATTTCCTTTCTTTTATTTTATTTTCCATTTCCTTCTCTCTGCCTATTCTCCTTAATAGTTCTGCATTCGTGACTCTATCTACCCTGTAGCATTTACAATTTCATTGATTTTTTGGTGTATATTGAAAACCCCTCGTATATGTAATATATTGAAATCCCCTCATATATATATATATATATATATATATATATATATATATATATATATATATATATATATATATATATATATATATGAAAAATCTTTTAATGTATCTTTCGTTCGTATCGTTCAGTTTGAAACCCAATTAATATTTCGTTCCTTTCAGCGCCGTCAAGTAATAAAACCGTTTGAGAGTTGTTTATTATTTTAAAGACGTGTAAGTACTTTCTCGTCATTTTCTTTTAATGTTTTATTCGAAGTCGCCTTATAATTTTTATACGTCGCAAAAGGATTTCTACGCTGTTTTGTTATTTCAGCGTTTGTTTGTTTTCAAGTGATATGAACGAATTTTTAAGACCGAGGAAGACCTTCTGACAATCGTCCAGGGCATGGAATCTGACATCCGCCGGACCGGCAAACTCCAGCAGCAGCAACAACAGCCGTACCGTCCCCCACGTCAGGATAACGCTCCACGACACCCTGAGGCGATAGACGAATGGAGGCACCCCAGCGGACAGCACAGGATGCCCTCAATGAACCAACCACCACCTCCAACCCCACAGAACCAGGGAAACGCCAATCGGGGCGCCAACTGAACCCTGTTGTGAAGATGGTGCCCTAACTGA